AGAAACACCCCGCCCCCAGGCCAGGTCCACATCTCCCAGCACATGGCAAGGGGCGGGAGGGGGTGTTAGGAAGGTACAAGATGGCTCTGTGTGGCCGTTATCTTCGCAAATCCTAGTGAAGAGCATGCTGAAATATAATTTATTAATTGTTAAACTTTAGGTGTCAGAATTATGCAAAAGATATACATTCATATTACATTTTAATTTCTGGTGACAATAGCTTTTATCTGCTATTGTATTCCTAAATTGTTTTATTCCTTATATGACAGATAGAACAGCCTGAAAACAAAACCAGGGGGTAGATGGCTTACCTCAGACCACTAATTAATGGTAAAATTAAAACAAGACATAGGTCTCTTTCTTCCAGATTGCACTGAGTTCTTAGCTCTAGACCTCAAGCGCATCCCTCATGCTTTCCCTGGAATGATACGGGGTATGTGGCTGACCCACGGGGATTTGGTCTGGATGCCTGATGTTGCTTGATCCCAGGTACATTAGAGCTCTGTCATGTTCACTGCACAAGGTACTTGGTGGATAAAAGGAGGGAAGGTGACCAGTTGTTGGCCACCAATGCAACAAGAGCACAGATGCCCCGATGAAGTGCTCCACCACCTTTCCTGACCCTCTGATTCCAGTGAAATGCTAAGCCACTGGGACCAAGGTAGTTAGCCGCACCAGTCCTAAATCACCCCTAACCTCTCTGTCCTGGATCATAAAGCAGGGTATGGTGCTGCTCAACCGTATTTCCTGGGAATTGGCCAAACCACAAACTTTCTCAAACCGGACCCTCCTCATGCATTCATTCTCCAGGCAGCTCCCAGGATGATGTGGCTGTGAAGAGGCTCACAGCCTCTCCCTAAAAGCTAAAAGCTGTGTCTGGACCTGGGATAGCTGGGGAGCTGAAATATGCCCTTCCCCATACTGTGATTGGCATCATATTATGGTCTTGATCAGTAAGGGAGACACTGTGGAGTGACTGAGGACCTGCACTTTTCTGGAGAGACGAGATTAGCATTGCATTGAGCCCCTGTACATTCTGCCAGCTTCAAGGAAACCTGGGATGACCCCACCAATGACTCAGCCTACAGCCTATTTCAAAATTATTCCCATTTCCCCAAGGGAAGATTTACTTTCAGTCCACGGTTTAGTGTATTTTAGGGTGGTGCTAAGTGGTCAGCTGACTGGCAAGAGAACAGAGGGCTTTCATCTGTACCCACCCAGCCTCAACACTGTCCCTACCTTCCCCTCAATGCTGCAGCAGGGCCCTTACCTGAGAATGCAGGACCTTTAACAGCTCAGGTGTTAGCTCTGCCCAGTTACACAAAGCAACTCGCTCAGACTGCTCTCTCACCGGAGGCGTCTCTCCACGGGACAGGGCCTCAAAATAACTACAAGAAAAAAGTCAGAGAGTAGGAGGAGCATCCTATATCCAGTGGCCTCTGGCTGTTCTAGCAATCCTTCCTCCTTTTTCTGAGGGAAGGAGGTAGAGAAAGGAAGCTTTGTGAAGTGGCTTCTATGTGTCATTGTGTTTAGTTCACTTACATATGGGAAAAGCCTGAATGTGTTACTCTCCACTTAGGGCACAGAGAATGCTTAGAGAATACAAAGCTTTGTTCTCTAAGGATGAGGAAGAACCAAGAAAAGTTTGGGTATGCAATTCCCTGGAGCATATCGGGTTTAGGTTTTTTTTTTTTCCCATCTCTGAATGTTTTATACATGCAGATATATATTACATATGTATATATAATCTTGGGAAGAGAATTTGGAAGAGAACTAAAAAGTAATGTATGTAAAAAAGGGGAAGACAGCACAGGAATGGTGACTAGGGCCTGTAATCCGGCAACTCCAGAGGCTAAGGCTGGAAGAGCACTTGAGCCCAGGAGTTTGAGGCTGCAGTGAACTATAACTGTGCCACCACACTCCAGACTGGGTGACAGAGTGAGACCCCCATCTCTGAAGAAACAAAAAAGGAGGGAAGGGGAAGAGATGGAAGTGTCCTAGGGGTGAATCAGGAAGGGTTTCTGGCCAGAGGTAGTGAGGCTTGGGGCTTCAAGAGGGAAGGGAGAGAGGGTTGTCAGGGCACCGTGCAAGGCTCAGGAGAGAAGACAAGCCAAAGAAGGTTTGAGACAATCTGAAGCTATATGGTGACTGTGAAATAAAACTTTCTCCATCTTCCCTCAAAATTTTCAGTAAAATCTGCCTGCTCCTCAATATTTTGTGGAGTGGACTTTGTTTTGGGGCACTGTGGAACAAGTACTGAGTTCTGTTTCAGGATTGGCATAAGATGAAAAGAGGCTGCCTGCAGCAGGGAACGGACATGAGCCGCTGACATGTGGGTCACCAATGCTGTATGGCAGCATCTGTCTCCACCAAAGCCTGGTTATTGACAATCCATGAGCCACAAATTTCTGTCCCTCCCTGCTTTTTTTCCTCCATTACTTCCTCCAGATCCAGGTTGTATGAAAATAATATAGAGGGAATTTAGTAAAAGTCCATTTTAGGGTCAAGCCATACAATGATGGGCTAACCATTGCCTGTCTCTGAGCCACATAGCCAGGCAGAGCTAAAGCTACATGGACTAAAGCAGTAACTGCCAGTCACACCTTGGAGGTCATCAGCAGGAAGGGCAGAAGAAATACGTTAAGGCCACATTTAACAACGTGCATGAGAAATCTCTGCACACAGATCAGTGTTGGGGTGGGTGGGGTGTGGGTGCAATGTGACAGCAGGAGCGGGGTGTGGCCTCAGGCTTTATAACCGGACTTGGGTGGTATAAATGGGAGGGACAGAGACACACAGCACCTCATTCTACAGAAGTGCTGCCCAGGTAGAGTAACACTCAGCACCAACATCTCTGGACTTCTTGTGGAATTGGTTAGACAACATGGAAATAAAGCTGTAATCATGGATTTCGTTCTTTGGGGTATTGAGTTTCATTTGCAAGTGATCAGGTCCATGGTTATACACACAGATTGCAAATTTGTGTTGTAACACATGCTTACCAGAGGACAAATAAGTATATGTCCTGCCAATGCCTGGTAAGAGGTTTCTTCGTTGACAACATATATGTAGTGAAATTCTTACTTGCAATGGATTAAATACGTATTTTGTCTTGGAAATACTTCGTAGAGTTTTATTCTCTAAAATGGTACAGGTTTTAAGTAAGTCACATACAACCATCTGAGCGGTGCTTTTCACGTCTGGATAGAAAGGAGGGGGCTCTTAGGTCATGCCCTCCTTTGTCATTGTGGTTAAACTACAAACTAAGTTTTCATGGATGTCTAAAAAATTATAGCACGTGATACAATATGAGAGCGAGCAGGCTACAATAGTGACTGCCTTCTTCCATAAATGTCAGGGACAATACTAAGCAATGTCATTTTGCTTATTATAAAACAGCAGCACAAGGACAATAAAATGGGTTTGAAACGAATGTATAAGATAAAGTCTGTCTATCTGACTATGCCAAAATAAATTAGTCTTCTGATGCTAAAGTTCAATCTTAGAGGCAATATATAAAATTTAGAATGGAAAACTAAACAGGGCTCATTACTAGGCGAAGCAACCGCCATTTAGGTTTCTTTTTATGAGCACCCCTGGCCTATTTTCCTTCCAGTTGTAAAAGCTGCATCCTAATCCAGCCCGGGAGCACAGCACTGGCCCAGAGACTCCGAAAGGCCCCTCTTAGATGACATTTGGTGTCTTCTCAAAAGTGTCCACACTCTCCCCACCATCTGCGCAGTACACCCGTTCACAACCTCAGGCTGAGGACATCTTCCCTTCCCCAACTCACTGGCTGTCTCTCAACAGCCTCTCTCACTCTCCCCTTCCTACTGAAACCCTCCTAAGCAGGGAATCATAAAACAGTAAAAATAGCCTGAAAATGGTCCGAGAGGTCTAGTTATCCTCCAGCTCCTGTCTCAAGTCCTGGTTCCCCAGTTTCAAGCAGGCAAGTTTGTCTAAGGAGCAATTTCATAGCTGAGAGGCTTTCTGTGCAAAGCTGCTTCAATCCCGGCCCGCAGCGATTGTTGTGTAAGCTCCATCCACTGAGCAGCCTCTGGAGGTCTCTCCTGAAAGAAGGCCCGCGTGTTTGAGGCACACTGTTTTCAGCCATGCCTGAGGACCCCATCACTCTGCTTGGCCTTTCTCCAGAATGCAATGGGTACTGTGCGAACATCTTTAGGTTGGCAGAACAAATCAGTTCAGAGAAACACTAAAGAAAATAACAATTTCCTCAAAGACAAGATACAAAGCGTCTTTGGTTGGGTCCAAGTAAGAGTTTTAACACAGGGGATGAAGTGTCTCCTTAAAGGGGTGAACTAGCTGGACTGGTCCCACCCCATCCACCCAGGGCTGTCGCGTCCCTCCCCCGGCTGCACTGCTGCCATCTAGTGGTGAGACAGGAGAACGAAGAAAGGCAGATTAAGCTTCGGAGATTCCCAGCCCTTCTTTCCACCGGGACTGGGGAAGGGAGTGCAGGGAGGAGGAGGGTGTGCGCATACGCTGGTGTGACGCGGTGACTTAACTCTTGCTGCTTGCCCCAGGACACGGGCTATTGACCTGGCGTCCTACTGCTCAATCTGGCTCGCTTAGGGGAGGCATCCCATCCTCGCCCGACTAGATGTAATATTTATGTGTGGATTTTAAAGCATCAAAGCAATGCAAGAGCTAAAACAAAGATGATGCCAGTTAGTCCCGACCCCCTGGCTGCAGCCATGGCAACCTCCGCGCTTTTCCAGGACCCTCTCTCCCCGCCCGTCCTCCAAGAGGTGAAGGCGATAAAGGAGCACATACTCGGCCCCCCACTGGATGAGGTCCTGCGGCTGCGCCCGAATGGCGGCTTTGGCAAACTCCTTCAGCATCTTCGGCAGCTCCGGCGGGATGCATGTTGGCTTATCTGTCTGAGCCATTGATTGGTTGACCTATTCTCAGGAGAAAAAAATACATAAGATGAAAACTTGGACTCATAAGATGAGAGCAATCCTGGACAGGAGGTCACCCAGCCTCTCTTTGACACTCTCAATTTTGGAGACTCCGCAAGACAAATGCATTCTATGGTTACACAACGCCAAGGTTAGAAAGCCGTCTGCTAATCCCTACTTTTTGTTGTAAATACTTATGTCCTTTACATAAAAATTACACAGCCTTGTTTATTTAAGAAGTGGAGGTCAAAAAAAAATCCCTAATGATATCACCCCCAAAATATTGGATATTTCCTTCCAGAATTTGTCAGTATAAATATATATGTTTGTAAAATTTTAAAATGAGATTATACAAAACAGTTTATTTACTCAAAAGTAGATCATGAACATCTTTGCATGTCGTCCAGCTCTTATTAGCTGGGTAAGAATTGTAGCAAAATTTACTTTGAACCCTCTATGAATTAACATTAGGTTATTTCCACATAAAAACAGTTATTAAACAGCCATTTGATGAGAGTCTCTATAGCTGCATGTTCTTTTCCACTCTAATTGTCAGGCGGAAAACTAGTACATTTTCTGTCAAAAAGTTCCAGGACAAATTGAAACAAAACATGAAAATCCATAAAGTGTCTACAATTCCCTCCACAAATAAACAACAGATCAAAAGATTTTTGTCTGCTTTTAGTAGAGAAAGGGACAGACTAGATATGCTAAAAAGCTGTCCCTCTTCAAAACACCTAGAGGCCAGACAAATCTCAGTACAAGCCTTTCACATTGCCTTGCTGGGCTTGCAGTGAAGTGAGAGAAATCTTCCAGTGGCCAATGAGGTGAGTAAAGTGGAACCCGCAGTGCTGGGCAAATGAAGATACTAGGGCTCATCTGGGCAAATGTAGATGGCAGGAACTTGAAGCTTTGAGATAAATGGCCAGGCAGAGTGGGTAGAGACCAAGGATTGGGCTCACAAAAGGCAAATGTCTGGACTAAAGGACTCCCCTTCTGACCTAAACTTGAGACCCACCCAGGGACTACACCCTCAGCGTGAGAAGGTGTGGCTGAAAATATCTGCCTACAGGCGGGGGTAAGCAGCAAAGAAACCTGTCTGCATTGCTGCTTCTAGTCAGGAGAGACACAGTCCCCCAGGAGTTTGTAGCCACGGACTAGTTCTAAGTTTTCAATGTATACTAGCACCAGCACGGCTGGGAAATTCCAAGACAAGAAACTAAAGTCATCTTAGGTTGGTGGGACTTCACGATCTTTTACTTTATTTATATACTTTTATTTGGAGGAAAAGGATGATAAAATAATGATTAATTTTAGACTTAGAAAAGTATTAGAAAAGTTTTAACAGTAATATAACCACTAAATCTGTAGAGAGGAAAAAAGGAATTTTTTAAAAACACGAAAAAGCAAACAAAACATGCCTCCCAATGTGAAATGGCATCCCAACATATACCTGCCAAGTGCTGAAGAATGTTGGTCTTAACTAGACTATAGTCTTGTTTCAGGAATCTCTCACTTGATTTTATTGGTATGGGCTAAACAGGGCTTCCGTTTCATAAATGAAAGTCTCCAGTTACATGAATGAAAGGCTCCAGGTCAGAATCTCAGAGGGTTTCTGTGAGTAGCTTGGAACCAAGCACAGGCAACTGCACATCCCTGTTTGGGTTTGGAATTGGAGGTGGTGGGTTTGGGATGTGGTTACTCTTGTTTGGAATGCATTCTCCTCCTCTTAACAGGTTAATTCTTCCTTTGGAAATCTGCTCAACCTTCCCTGACCACCCTGTCAGTTCCATTGTACATACCCTTTCAGAGCATCACTTACCTATCGTTGCTGTGATTCTTTGAGTAACATGTGCCTCTCCCACTAAACTCCACGGCAGGACTGGTCAGTTTTTGCTCACCACACCATCCCAATGCCTACCCAGTGCCTGGAACTTAGTGTTCAATAGATACTAGTAAAAATGAATGCATGATAGCAGTCTGTGAGGTGCTAGGTATAAAAGAATGCGTGATAGCAGTCTGTGAAGTGCTAGGTATGCCCATTGGTCCACCTGACAATTCTCCCAAAGTTATTTTTATATCCCTGTTGCTGATGAAAAAGCAGAGGTGTGGCTCCTCCGTGGAGGGCTCTGATTCCAGACTTTTGAGTCTCCCTATCACTGTCCTCAGGGTAAGAAACCATATAATAGTATTCTGGGTACAAAATACCCACACAAATTGGCCAGAAAGCCATAATCCCCAACAGTCACGTACTCTTGAAGATCTTGCCTTTCCCTTGCTCTGTGAACAAGGGGAGGCTCAGAAGCCAGGGGGCGTCCTGCAGGGCTCCTCGCTCAGACCAGTGCAGCCCTCGGGGCGCTCAGAGCCCTGCCCTCCCTCCACTTCCCCTCGGGGTGGCTACCTCAGGCTCGCTCCCAAACCGGCTGTCTGGCCTCAGGCGAGAGGTGTGGGGAGAGACCCAGTGCCTCACACCCTTCTTCTCAAGAAGAGCAGTAGAACCTCGGCGGGGAGGGCAGCAGCGGCCAGGGGTGACAGCAGCGGCGGGGCACGACCGCCGTTAGCGTTAGACGTTAGCGCTCCGCCTTCGCCTGGCAAACCCTGCGCGGGCTCCGCTGCCAGATCACCGGGGTAGGGCCGGGCGCGACGTCACAGAGCCGCCCCGCCCCTCCTGCAGCGGCGGGTTCCCAGGGTCCCGCTAGGGCGCTGCTGGGGGAAGCTGAAAGCTGCTTTTGGCTTTGCTGGTGGTGGAAGGACCAGACGGCCTGGAGGGTTAAGGACAGGGCTGGGGGCGTTAGGAAACCCGGGCTGGGGGCGTTGGGGGTGGGACGGAATGTGTAGCCATTGACCGTGAGCTTTTGTAGGTGAGAGAGCGGAAGTGGAACTTGATCTTTCGGCTTGTGGAAAGTGGACAGGTGAGAAGTCCTCGGGAATCATAGTAACAACACTTCTTACAATGCGTTTTTTGGTGCCAGGAATTGTTCTAAGTGCATTACACACATGAACTCATTTCATCCTTACTGTCACCCCATGAGGCAAGTACTATTGTTATCCCCATTTTTACAGATGAGGGAACTGAGCCCAGAGAGGTTAAACCTGTCCAAGATGTCAGCAAGTGATAGAGTCAGGATTTGAACCTGGGTTGCATGGTCCCAGATACCTCACTCTTGACCTTATAATGCTAAGAAAGAGGGATGGAGCGGATAGGAGCAGAGCCTGAGATGCCTGGGGACAACAGGGAAAGATAGACAATGTTTACTGGATAGAATGTGGTCACTGTGCCAGGGCACTTTTACAAACATGATGACATCAAAGTCTCACGGTAAACTCTGAAGGTAGATACTACCTTTGCTTTGGAAATAAAAAACGGGCTCAAGGCTTCCAGTAATTTTGCTTGTGATCAAACAGCTGGCAGTAGGGCCCAGCGCCCAGCTTGACTCCAGGTCTTCTGATTTCAAGACTGTTTTTTTGTTTTGTTTTGTTTTGCTTTGCTTTGCTTTGTTTTGAGACAGGGTCTCTCTCTGTTGCCCAGGCTGGAGTGCAATGGGGTGATCATGGCTCACTGCAGCCTCAATCTCCTAGGTCTAAGCAATCCTCCCACCTCAGCCTCCCAAGTAGCTGAGACTACAGGTGCGTGCCACCACACTAGGCTAATTTTTATATTTTTATAAACGGGGTTTTGCCATGTTGCCCAGGCTGGTCTTGAACCCCTGGGCTCAAGTGATGCATCCCCCTCCTTGGTCTCCTAAAGCATTGGGATTACAGGTGTGAGCCACCACACCTGGCCTCAAGACTGTTCTTTTTAAGCACCCAAGGAGGCAAGAAAAGCCCCATCTTTCTCTGCTACATCCCGTGTCACTTCACACCCATTTTAAAACTGCCCATTGCATCATCTAATCCTTCAGTCCATTTATACTACAGTGTGTATTAGTCTAAATAGATTAGTTCACCCAGGGCCTTCAAAGCTTTCTCTGGTTGTGAGATGAAAGCCTTTGTCTCTCCTTAAAGCAATTTTAAGCATCAGTGAACAAGTAGGAGAACTAGATTTTTGGCTTATGCATGCAGAAAGCTTTTTGCAGCCTGTTGTCATCCATTTGTAAAGAGGCCACTCTGCTGGCATTTGTCAAAATCCTGCAGGTCCTTGCACACCTGGAGAAACCTGGATGATCTGAGAATGGCCACTGCCCACAGGGCAAGATCTGGGGATGAAAGAAACCCAGTCACTGGCTATCACCTGCCTTTCTGAGGCCTCTGCGGAGGGGCTGCCAGGTGTTGGTATAGGCATCTGACCAACAGGGTGTGCCTTAGGTTGGGAGGGAGGGGCTGGAGGCTTGAGGGCTCCCCACTGGGGTCTGTTCTGTATATGCACATGAGATGAAGGTGTGCCAATCTCTTCCTGCTTTCATGCTGAGTAAATAATGCTGGCAGGAATGAATAATAATGATCTTTGTGCAGAAGAAGGGGTTTTTCAGACAAAGCACTAGCAGCTGGAGAGAAGATGAAATAAAATAGAATTTTAGTGTAGCAGGTTAAATCAAGGGAGGAATTTCATGGCACTGGCTGACTGAGGTGGTTTGATGTCTGTCCGTAGGAGGCCAGGTTGAGAGGCATAGGTTAGATTATCCTTGATCTGCTGGTCAATAAATATAACACGATACAGTCAAGAGAATATAATTTTACAGGGAAATGATAACACAATTCAGGAAAGTTGCTTTCTTCTAAAACAGAGGTAAGATTAGAGAGGGAGGAGCACATAGATGTTACTGGTAGTGGTCTAGCTCTTGGGGTGGTTGGTGGGTTCATAGGTGTTTATTATGTTTCAGTAAAAAAATCTGTCTTAAATATTACAATAAAATCCTTTGTTACATAAATTCTTTTATCAAGTAGGCTATGTTGTTTTCTGCTATTTTCTTGTACAAATGAATATTGACTACATCCTTTCTCATCATTTCCGTTTTCTACTAGATAATTCCCATCAACATACAAACATGCTCTAATTTCTCCCATCATTTTCCTCTTCAGCTTTCACCCATTTCTCTGCTTCCCTTTATTGCCAAGTTCTTTAAAAGAGTTGCCCATACCTGCCATCTCTAATTTTTCTCTTCTAAATTTCTTTTGAATCTACTTGAACCAGGCTTTCAACCCATCACTCCACTGAAATGACTTGCGTCAAGGTCTCCAATGACATGCTGTTAAATCCAACATCATCTGTCAGCCTCGGCTCAACCTATCAGCAGCATTTGACCCTGCTGATCACTTTCACATGCTTGAAACACTTTTTTTCCTTGGATTCCAGGACATCACACTCTTGGTTTTTCTCCTTCCTCATTGGCTTCTTTCTTAGTCTCTTTTGCTTGTTCTTCCTCCTCTCCCTGACACTTTAATCTTGGAGTGCCCGAGGATTTACACTTGGACTTCTCTATCTACATGCACTCTCTTTTTGATCTCATCCAGTTTCATGTTTTAGATATTACATTTATGTCTTCAGCCCTAATCCTTCCCTAAATACCACATTAGAATATCCAAGTGTTTACTCTGCACCACTGGATGTCTAATAGGCTTCTCAGACTTAATACACCTCAACTGCACTCCAAGATTCTCTCTCCAAACCGGTTCCTCCAGGCTTCCTCATAGCAGAAAATAGTAACTGTAAATTCCAGTTGCTCAGGTTAAAAACCTTGGCATTATCCTTGACTGCTTTTTCTCTCACACCTTAAATCCAATCAGAGCAAATGCTATTGGCTATATCTCCAAGTCATTCAGAATTGGAGCACTTCTCTCCACTTCCATCACCTTGGTCCAAGCAAACCTCATCTCTTACCCGGACCACTACAATGACTTCCTAACTCATCTCCCTGTTTCTGCCCTTCCCTTCCGGTGGTCTGTTCTCATCACAGCTGCCTGATCAAATTACTGAAAACCTAAGACTGATCATGTCATTCCTCTGTTTAGAACCCTCAGTGGCTCCCACCTTGTGCAAGTAAAAGTCAAAGTAACCCACAGGCCCTTAAACTCTCTGAACCCATCATTTTCTCTTTTCTCCTTCCTCACTTCCCTCCAGCCATGCTGGCCATCTTATTATCCCTCAGAAAGGCCAGATCCTCTCCTGCCTCAAGACTTGTGCACTTGCATTTCATCTGCCTGGAACATGATTTCCTCAGGTATCCACATGGTTCACTCCTTAGCACCTTCGGTTTTGTATCCAAATGTGACCTTCTAAGGGAGTCTTATCTGACTCTTTTAAGTTGAACACCAATATCCCTTCTAACTTATTCCTTGCTTTACAATCAGTACATACTATGTATTTTTAAATTTTTGTTTTATTGATTTCTCTATATTTTTCCACTGGGATTGATTTCTCTATATATTTTTTGCATGGGATTCTGTTTTTTTAAATTACTGTTGTATTTCGGGAGCCTAGAACAGAACTGTGCACATAATGGGCACCATAAATATTTGTTTACTGAATTAAATTCTCCTTTTTTTTTTTCCTCTCCTTCCACCTTGCTTCCCCTTCCTTCCTTCTTCTAAGAGGCCCTTCTGAAAAATGATACTTCAGTGTCCTTCGGCTTTGCATGTTCGGTATCTTAGGGACTAAAGTTCTATGTGGCCAAGTAACCACAGGTCTGGCACCAGAGAGTGCCAGACTGCCTTCTCTACCATCTCAACCTTATAACAAATATCAACTGTCTCATACTAGCTATGAGCTCAGAAAGTCAGTTCTCCCTATCCTGTGTGGCTTATATTTTGGCTCACTTTCTTCAGATCTTAAGTGTGCCATTTCATAGGAGGAAATGAGAGTGATCCTGTCCCACCTGCTGCTTGGATCATGGTGAGACTGGGGCTGAGCAGTCATGATGGGTACACCATACTCGGGACCTTGGCTCAGGTTCAGCACAATTCTGGGATTTAGCTGTGGGGTGTGGTTGTTAGACTCCCCGTGGAGCTACTCTACCCTGTGTACATAAACTCCTTTCACATATACATTTGTTTTCTTTTGCTGCATTGCAAATTATCACATACTTAGCAGCTTAAAACAACACAGATTTATGATCTGTTTCCACAGGGCAGGAGTCTGGGTAGATTAGCTTGGTCCTCCACTAAGGGTCTTGCCCAGCTAAAATCCAGGTGTTGGCTAGGGCTGTGCTCTCACATGAGCCTTAGGGTCCTCTTCCATATTCATTGGTTGTTGACAAAATTCAGTTCCTTGGGGATGTAGGACTGAAGTCCCTGTTTCCTTGCTGGCTTTTGGCCAGGGATTGCTCTCAGCTCCTAGAAGCCACTCTCAGGTCATAATGCCATGGTCCTGGAATGGCAGTTTACAACACTGATGTTTGCTTTCTTCCAGGCCAGCAGAGGCATCTGTTGTTATTTCTTTTGTCCGTTTTTTAATGCTCACCTGATTAGATCAGATCCACCCAGGATAATCTCCCTTTTGACTAACTCACAGTCAACTGATCAGGGACCTTAATTACATCTGAAAGTTCTCTTTCGCCACATAATATTAATCACGGGAATAATATCTCCTCATATTCACCAGTCTCACCCACACTTACAGGGATGATGGGATTATGCAGGGCACATATGCCAGGGGGTGGAAATGTTGGAGGCTATCTTAGAATCCTGCC